AATGACATGAGACAAAGTATATGTGAACTGCTGTATGAAAAGTGAATTTACTCTGTAAATCTTAACCCAAATCAAAATAAAATTAAAAAAAAAAAAAAAAAAAGAATTAGTTGCAAAATGGGTCACTTAGCAAGCCCTAGTGGCACAGTGGTTAAGCACTTGGCAGCTAACTGAAAAGGTCAATGGTTTGAACCCACTAGTGGCTCTGCAGGAGAAAGATGTAGCAGTCTGCTTCCATGAAGACTGCAGTCCAGAAAATAGTAAGGTGCAGTTCTTCTCTGCCTATACGGTCACCATGAGTTGGAATCAAGTCAACAGCAATGGGTTCTGAATGCCACTTGGGCTGGGAAGAAAACAGTATTCCTCAGGCAGGAGATTGGTGTTTCTTCTAGAAAACCATCCTAATAGACTTATAAAAGACAGAGACACTGAGAAAGCTGAAAGTCCCAATCTGACAGTGGGGGACCACAATGAAGGGAAGAAGGGTCTTTGTAGAGAGAGGAGCCCTACTAAGATGGAGGTAGGTGAGGTTCTGAGTAAGCATGAGAAACGGCCCCTGCCAATGAGATATTTCTCATGCTCCAGTGCTTGAGGACAGTGTTGTTGTTATGTGCTGTCAAGTCAGACCTGACTCATAGCGACCCCTCCTTGGGTTTCCGAGGCAGTATCACTACAGAAGTAGATTGCCCCAACCTTCCTTCCGAGGAGAGGCTGGTGGGCTTGAACTGCCAGCCTTCTGGTTAGCAGTCAAGTGCCTTAGGCACTATGCTACCAGAGCTCCTTTGAGGAAAGTAGGAAAGCTTCTGCCTACTCTGTGCTGTGGTACTCCAAACTTTATGTCAAGTCTGCTGAACACAGCAGTCTTCAATTAGTGTTCCTTCAGGACATGAAGGAAGAGGGAACAGTGCCCAGTGTGGGGTGAAGCAATACAAAAGCAATACAAAAAGCATAGTGCTCACAGTGGAGACCAGTTTGGACTAGCAGGAATTTGGAGTGAGAGAGGACCACAAGAGTGCAAACCTCTGGGAGTCTCCAGAACTGTGTTGCCCAATTTGGTAGCCACTAACCACACCGGGCTACTGAGTGCTTAAATGTGGCTAGTCCCAATTAAGATGTACTAAGTGTTAGTGTGTGTGTGTGTGGGGGGGAAAGTCAATGATCCAATAATTTTGATTCTAATTATGTGTTGAAATGATATTATTTTGGATATGCTGGGTGAAATAAATATATTACTAAAATTAATTACACCTGTCCCTTTTTATAACAGTACCTAAGGCATTTGACTACTAATTAGAAGGTTGACAGTTCAAACCCAGCAGTTGCTCTGTGGAAGGAAGAAAGGGCAATCTACTTCCATAAAGATTTACCACCTTAGAAACCCTAAGGGGGTCGCTATGAGTCAGAATCAACTCGATGGCAGTGAGTTTGGTTTTCGGTTTGGTTATTAGAAAATTTAGAATTACACATGGCTCACGCTGTACTCCCATTGGAGGACTGTGCTCTGGAATCTTGGTTGTTGTTGTTATGTGCCGTCGAGTCAGCCCCGACTCATAGCGACCCCTCCTTGGGCTTCCAAGGCAGTATCACTACGGAAGTAGGATTGGTAGGAGACTTGACCTTCGTATAGCATGAGCACAGGGAGCTTAAGCCACTTTCTCTAAGCATTAAAGGGTGACCCCAGGAAGGTGAGGGCACGGGACAGCAGACATGGGCAGATTCAGCGTGAAAAATACACATTTACAAGAGCAGATGACTCATTTCTTTCAGTGAGGTTTTTGTTAAGTTGGAAAATGATTCCTACAAATAGCAAGTGCTCTTACATTATGACTTAATTTATTCAAAAATTCACCTTTTCAGGAACATATTTATAAGCTTACAACAACATATATGGTACAACTTTTCAAAAGAAATAATGTATACTCATTCCTTAGACTTAGATTAGAAGAAAAATTAAAAGCAAGAGAGCTACAGTTACTGGGTGTAAATTATCATATCCTCTGATAACACGACATGTTGGACCACTTGCTGTCCAATCTGAGATGAATACGTGGTACTTTCAACTGGAATGTAAAACACATACAGGGCTGCAGTCATTCATGGAGCATATTTACTTCATACCAAATGAACCCTGACCCACGTCTTCGCAGATTTCTGAGCAAAGAAGAAAATAAAATGTAATGTCTGACTCCACGTTAGCCAAGCTGCAAGTAACCAGAAAATATTTTTTCTCCAACATGATTCCTAAGAAGACTGGTTTCTATATGACTCATGTAGATGCTTATATGCATGTAAAATTTATCAACTTCAGACCTGGGGTGATTTAAAACATCATGCAGTCCAGTGTCTACTGGATGGAGGAGGACACTGAACCTCAAAGAGCCAGGTCACCTTCCTGACATCACAGGGCTGCTTGACAGTAATGGCAGGATGCAGCCGTACAGTGTGGCAGCAGCCAGTGCCTGGGTGTGACCTCAGGCTCTGATGCTTCCTTGAGTTGTCTGAGAACTGGGGATTTACAGTCCTTGCCCACAGGGGTGTTCAGGAGGCTGAGGTGACCTCTCTCTTTAAAACACATGGCACAGCATTTTGTGACCATTCATTGAGCATCAAGCTGGTGGCCTTGTTCTCCTTCCACCTTCTTCCCAGATAAGTGTTTTCTCTCCTGAAAAGTTTATGCTCAGTGAAAGCAGCTGCTGTGAACTCCAGGAAAGTCCCTGTCCCTTCCTTGTTAATGTATTTGAGGGTCATGAGGTAGCCTAGGTCTCTGGGGGGTACAAGAGGGTAACACACTCAGCTGCTAACTGAAGAGTCAGAGGTTCAAGTCCACCCCGGGGCATCGCAGAAGACAAGTCCAGTGATCTACTCTTTTAAAACCAGCCACTGAAAACCTTACAGGGCAGAGTTCTTCTGGGACACACATGGGGCCATCGTGAGTCAGGATCGACTCAATGGCCTGGTAGCTACCTGAGAGTTTCCCTGGCTTGCTGGTAATGCTGACTCTTCAAAACCCAAAACACTCAAAATTAAACAGGATTATCAGGGATGAGGTGGTTACCATGTGCAGGGCATGGAGTAAAATGACAAAGTAAGTACATGACTCTTCCCACTTCCCCTTCTCCGCCCACACCTCAGCCGCATCCTGAGCCCCTCCACGATCTCCTCAGTACAGAGCTACCCACACATGCCCTCCGAGCTTGAGGGTCCTATTGCTCAAATCAGCTCAAACACACTCTCTTCCTCTTTACCCCACTTGGCTGTCCTGGCTCTGGAGTAACAGGTCAGCTTATTTCACACCAAGATGCCAATGATAGTAGACCCCAAAATGGGGGCTTGTTAATGGAAATCAACCTCAAATTGGTAGCTTCTTGGATGGGGAAGCATTTTTCTGCTTGGAGGCTTCTTCCCAAGTGTTCTTGCTTTAATTTCTACTTCTCAACACACACACACACACACACACACACCCCATGTACACACACCACACACTCACATCCACCATACCTCCCTCCCACACACACTATACCCACATACACATCACACCACACACACACACCATACCCCACACACACTCCCTACATGCACACACTACACCACTCAGGAGCCAGTGGCTTAGTATCCCAGTCTTAACAAGTTTTCTAACACTCCCAGAACTAATGGGTGTTGGGAAGAGGTTACTTCGAGATGAGTCCCTCATTCACTAGAGGAAAAGAAACATGATAAATGCAAGGCATAAAACTGAATTTGCATGGCTCCTGCACAATGCTGCTCCCTCCTCTCAGGATCAGGAAACTCAGGGAACTTCCATGGGCACCACTGAGCTTGGGGCTTGGTCTCCTCGGTTTACTCCTCGAGTCTAATCAAACCCCAAACTAGAGGTAAATAATTCCAGGTCTTCTGAGCACATTCATTTCTCATCCCATGACTCAGTGTGGAGTTAAGGTGACGGAGCAGACCTCAAGACAAGCACTAACTGTCACATGCCATAAGCCAGCAAGCAGGGTCACGTACCTTTGCAGGTGAAGCATTTGATGTGGAAATGTCTGGTCTGGACCCGAAGCACTTCACCTTTGCATGGCTCCCCACACTTATGGCAGTGAATGACAGGCTTCTCTGATGGGTGGGGAGGGTCCTGAGGGTGGGCAACTGAAAAAACAAAAACAAAACCATGAGATCCATGTCAGTAGAAAGCATTCCTACAAAAGGGGTTACTGGGGGGCAGTCACTAAAAATATCACCATAATGTAGTGTCAAATGACCCACGTATTCACTCAATAAGCATGACTTGAGCATTGCCCAGGCCATAATTGGATCAGGTACGTAAGACAGTGTTGGCTTTCATAGTCCCAGGGGGAAACACTGGGCTTGGTGCTCTGTGGGCCCTTCCATCTCTCCCTCCTCCCAAACTCCTTTAGTACTTCATCAGGACTACACACTGGGCAATCAAATACACAATCTTGTTTGTTTCTTTATTTTACATGTACTTAAAGGCCTTGGACGGTTCATGTACTCAGCTACTAAACAAAAGACTAGAGGCTGAAGTCTGCCCAGAGGCTTCTGGGAAGGAAGGTGAATGCTTTTCCTCCCCAGGTGTACTTCTTCCTTCCCCAGCTCCTCAGTCGTAGTGGAATGCTCGTGTACCTGCTCAGTAAACAGCTTGGTTTGTTCTGAGTATGTGGTACCTAGCTTCTAGCCTAAATCAATTTGACGGCAATGGTGGTGGCAGTTTCTAGCCTCTGGTCCCAGAGAATCATTTCTGATCTTACTTTGGCCACTCATTTAACCTGTTGGAAGCCAATTATGATCCTTTACCACACAGAGCTCCTGATACACACACTGCAGGCACTAATTTAAAAAAAAAAGTAACCATGTGGATCTCCTCTCAAATCATATGATTAGGCTTAGAGGGCTTATTCGCTCCCTTTCCATAGTGTGGCCTTCAGAGAATGGAAGTCATTGAAACTGCCCTGGCCCGAAAATGAGGTTAGGATTTAGAGTCACCCCTTTACAAAGAGCCAGGGAGAAGGCAGTGAGAAAGCATGTGTGGCCTTAAGGTGACCAAGTGTCTTCCTTTAGGCTGTAGTTTTCCCAGCCAAAGAGCTCCCATAGGCATTCTTTGCTATCAATTTCCTCCCCTGTTTTGGCCCCTCCAAAAGCAGAATCATGTGATACATAAAGACATACTACATAAAGTTCCAGTAAGATGGTGGAATAGGCAGACAGATGCACAGACCCTCAACAAAGAAAAGGGGAACCAATTAACACAGATACAGAAGATAATCCTGGAGCCCTGAGCTTTGAAGGGAAGGATATAGAAGTGAAGTAAACTCCAACTAGTAGAACTTGCATGAAAACACCAAAAAAGGAGACATATGGAGCTGCGGTCTGGCAGCGATCCTGACGGCACATACAGCTTGGATACTGCCGAGTGGTGTTAGGACCTAAGAATTAACCTAAAGATTGGCCCTGCTAGCCAGGGGCTGCACGGAGGACTGCACTGGTGGCTGGTGAATAAAAGGAGAAGCAGCAAAGAGGGAGATGGGCTGAGCTGTGGGCTTTTGGCTGTCTGGAGGGCAAAGCCATTTTGAATATTTACAAGAGGTTTGACCATTTTGGATATTTAAAGTGACAGCATTCTCCCAGATCCCAAGGACTTAAGAATAGGCATCACTTGCCAAGAACCACAAGGACATTCCAGAGGCCAACGAAAAGGTTACTCTTTCAGTTATTCTCCTTGTTACTTGTTACTCTTATACTCCACACTCTCTTGGTGAATGGAGATGTGGCCATCCCTCACTCCCACCCACCTTCTGGGCTGACAGGAATTCCATCCCAGTCTGTGTGCTCAGATGGAGCCTGGGTGCCCTGCCCTGCCCAGATTTCCCTGCCCCACTGTTTTTTTAAGTTTGTTTTAAAATTATTATTATTGTCCTTTTATATTATTATTCTTTATTCTTCCCTTCCCAGGTTCCAATCTTCAGCTTTTCTCTCTTCCCTATTCCTGGTTCCCATTTTTTTCTTTCTCGTGGTTAACCCCATTCTTTGTTTTTCCTTTTTCATTTTTTCCTTCATTATTCTCCTACTCTATCTTTTTTCTCTTATTACCCTCTGCCCAGATATTGTGGGTTTTTGTTTTGTTTTGTTTTGTTTTTTTAAGTTATTGTTCCTATGTGTTTACATGGTCTGTTTTTTGTCCATTTGCTTTTACTTTTTTGATGGTTATTCAATTGTTGTTATTGTCTGAGTGGGAGACAGCAACAGTGCCCATATGACACAATCTACACCCACACCTCCTGAAGCTTCACTCACTGAGTGAGAACCACCACTTCCTTCACCAACTATGCAACGATAAACTACCATCAAGAAGAGCCTGAGTCACCCTTAACTGCTTTCACAAACAGTTAACAGAGATTGAGAGACAATGTCACAATGTCTCAGAGACAACAGACCATCACAGTTCACACAAAGAAGCAAGATAAAGTGATAGAAACAAGGGAGCAGGATACAGACCCAGAACACATCTCTGAGGAAGAAGCAGCATTAGAACTTCCTGATCAGCAATTCAAAAGAATTATATTTAGGTATCTTCAAAGGATTGAGAGACAGATCAAGGAAAACACTTTGTTGTTGTTGTTATTATGTGCCGTCGAGTCAGACCTGACTCATAGTGACCCCTCCTTGGGTTTCCAAGGCAGTATCACTATGGAAGTAGATTGCCCCATCTTCCTTCCGAGG